TAAGTAGTATTTTATTGATATTGTAATCAGTTGTAGTTTAAGCAATATTCTTGTAGTACGTTCTAAAGAAAAAAATAAACATTTTCGAAAGCTTGAGCAAAGAACACTCTCTTTATGGCCTTATGATAGTCGACAGCGTTACGGCTATAACCTCAAAAGTTTTTCATTTTGTTGTTAGTTTTGGTACACAATATCGGCAAACGGAGTCATAGTGTATGGTCCCCTGACGGGGCAAGTCTGAAAATAGATGAAAAGTAACGACTGTCTAGAGACACTCTAGATTTGTTTCATGGGGATTTCTTTCTAACCACAGCATAAAGAATGACGGTTATCATCAAAAGCTATGAATGCAGGGGGTATGGAATGTTTGTTTATTGTAGACTTCCTTCAGAGGGAAGACGTGTCAACGCGTCCTGGCGACATGTATATGATGACAGCGGGTTTCTAAATGGAATAACAAATTTACATAGGAAGCTGATACAGAAAAGGAAAGTGTACATGTGTAAGATATTGTCCTGTTTGTAATAAACTTTCTAACAATCTGAGTTAATTATGGGCCACCCACCTTGTTGTAAGTTGGGGCCATATTCAAACTTTGAATTCTGAAGTTTAATCGATCCTTAAAAATGTTTGCTACCGAAAAACCAGTACATTACATACCTAATTTAGGTAGTGGTCCATTAAATCGTATTGACCATAAACCACTTTTAGCTTTGAAAGAAGTATTACTGAACAATTCGTAATTTTTGTTGCAGTAAGCAAATTTGATGCTGTGTGCAATTCAAAATATTTCAATATCCATTCCTGATGCTGGACTCCAAGGTATAGTATGTCTGAATCACAGCGACGAGACAATGCGTTAATAATTCAAGTATTTATTGTCAGTTGAAAGTATTCGTTTATAAGTATTCATTTGTAAGTACGAATCAGTAAGAGCTAATACACATAAGTGTTTCCTTATCAGTATTATTCACATCGTTGTACTTATTTACTAGCCTGAATCTTTTAACTACTGAGTCAGTTTTAACTTTCTAAAAATAAGTATTTATTATTTATTCCATCCAATTAGGTCGATTATTTTTGTATTCACGAAGCAGAACTACCAAAGGAAGCCTTAAAATTGCTTAGTTCTCAATCATTCTGAAATACTTCAAGTTTAGTTGTCACACTGACACAATGAAATGGCAATCTCATACTTAATTATAAATAAACTGTAAACTATAAACTAATATAACACATGATCACAATGACAATACATAGAATGGTATAATGAAAAAATCATGACGAAAGAAAAAGAAGAAACACGAAAAAGATAGTGATTATTTGCCTAGGTGTTTTTTCTTTGTTTTAATCGTCCACCTAATGAGAGAAATGCTACTTCTCAATGAGACATTGCGGCTAATAATGAAGATTTCTCGTGTTAATAGTGACAAAACATAATATTTATTTTTGACACGCTATTAAGGTAAATCAAGCAAAATTTGTCCAAATAGCCACTAATCAGCTGCTGTAGATAATTTACTTACTTTGTATGCGGATTTCATTAACGGCCGAAGTCCGATAACCGGGTACAGTTAAAAACACGCCCATCAAAAGTTGTAAATTAAACACTGAAAGCTTATTAACGTGAGAACAACTATCCGTGGAAAGAATCTGTTCGTAATTACGATGGCCATAATAACTGTTTATAAGAAGATAAATTAACTATTCGTAAAAACAGCTGTTCACCTTCGTATAGTCGCTAATTGATAAACTAAAAAAAATATGATGAGTCAATGAAAAAACTGTTGATAATTTTAAAAACAGTAATGTCCGCTTATTGCGAACTTCCGTTTATAACGAACTAATTTAACCAAAATGTTTGATATATTCGTAAAATTTTTCGGTTATAACGAGCTTAAAACTGGATTTTACCAGAATCAGGTAACCGAAATCTTCCAACCGCGTGGTGGGGTATGAGCAATCGTCAGCGTCTGCCGCCATTCCGCCACTGCCATTTAGTCTGATACCTTCTTTATTCGTTGTATTCAGTGTCCTGCACTCTTGGAATCATGGGTGAAGCAATTTCTAAGAAAACACGTAAAACTCTTACTTTAAATAGTAAATCCGATATCGTCAAAAGATTGCAAGGAGGTGTGAAGCAAAGTGAAATTTGTTCTGAAATGGGATTAAGTAAATCAACGGTGAGTACTGCTCAATAACATGTCCTAAACATACATAAATAAGCACTCTGAGATATGCATTTGATTTACGATTTTTCATTTTAATTACAGGTTGGTACAATTTGGAAAAATAAAGACAAAATACTGGAAATGTTTGAGAAGGGCCAAAACATAAATGTGAAGAAAATTAAAAAGCCCACGAATTATAAAGTTGATCAGGGACTTCTGAAATGGTTTTCTCAACAGAGAAATAAAAAAGTAACCATAAGTGGTGCTATACTGCCATCGAAGGCTGCAGACCTTGGGAAGAAGTTATCGACGATATTAAGCGGTGATCTTTTGTTTTAGGTATGAGGCAGATTTCGACTCGAGATCGGAACGGTGGACATCGACGCGGTTTTTCCGGTTTTTTTCCCGGTTCGCGAAACGTTCGGAAGGAAAGCGATACCGTTTCGGAAACTAGAAACTCGCCGTTTTAGGGGGGAGCCGGAGCGGTGAGAGAAAGAAACCGGATCGAAAGCGGCGGGTAAAGTTTTCGTGCTGGCCGACGTTCAACATAGGTTTCCTCCGAAGATAAAGGAGCTGCGAACCTGACGATTTTTGCGTGAGAAAGCCCCGGCTTCGGGCTCAAAGATAGCGCCTTTCTTTTTTTTTCTTTATCCCTTTTCGTTCGAAAATGTTCGCTCCAGATTCGCGATTCCTGTTAGGCGGGGTATTGTAGGTATGATCGTATTACGAAAGCGAGCGCGTGCAAGCGGAACGTCAAAAACGTGCCATTTTCGGCTTCATGACTATCGCTTCATCCAATATTGGATCACGCCAAATAGAATTGTCCTTTTTTACGCGTGAAAATCAACATTTTCGAATAGATTCAGAATTTCTATATTCTATAGTCCAAACGGTACCGGACTATAGCAATATTCACAACAAGAATCAAGTAGGTTGCGATGTTTACAGGCAGTTGGTGTTAGGCTTTGACGTTTAGCGGTTCATAGAAGTCATCATCAGTTTGAATACGATAAATATGATTGTAAGACCTTATTACTGCCAAAGATCAATTCCTGAAGAGATCAGAAATCCACAACATAGCAAGACTTTACTTATAACAGTGTATTATTGTGTAGTGATACCCGGTGCCGAGTCTTTACAGTTTTTCGGTTCAGACGAAGTGCCTCAGTGTATATCTATCGTGATAATGTATTTCATCTTTGAAGAAGTTTGAGAGGTACCCTTATTAATCGTCAGCAGATTTAAATAAGGTAAAAATAATTTTCATTCCTGTCAAATCAGAAAACATTTACACTGAAGAAAGAACAGTCCCGTGCTATCCTTAGGCGAACACGGTTGACATATGTCAGTGTCAAGCGCCATTTTTTTGCAAGTCGTATGGTAGCTAGACTTATGCGACGTTGCCGGATCCTCAGATAAATCTGAGTTTGTCATACAATTTTATAGAGGGCATTAATGTTATAACGAAGATTTTATAACGCCATGTGTGTTATTAACAACGACACGTGGAAAAATGAAAATTGAAAAATGAAAAATGAAAAGTGAAAAATGAAAAATGAAAACTGATAACTTATAAAAGATAACAGATAACAGGTAACAGATAACTGACACCTGACAACTGATAACAGATAACAGATACCAGATCCCAGATATCAGATACGAGTCACCAGGCTCCAGATACCTGATATACCAGATACCAGATAAAGGATGACCTATAACTTATAAGGATAACGGATAACGGATACCGGATACCAGATACCAGATAACACATAACAGATACCAGATAACACATAGCAGATAATAGATACCAGATACCAGACACCAGATACCAGATACCACATACCAGATAACAGATAACAGATAACTTATAACAGATAAAAGATAAAAGATGACAGATAACAGATAAAAAGTAACAGATAAAAGGAAACAGGTAACAGATAACAAATAACTGATAACTAACAACTGACAACTGATAACTGAAAACTGATAACTGAAAACTAAAAAATGAAAACTGAAATCTGAAGAATGAAAAATGAAAACTGAAATATGAAATATGAAAAATGAAAGATGAAAAATGAAAACTGATAACTTATAAAAGATAACAGATACCAGATATCAGATACCAGATACCAGATAACAGATACCAGATACCACATAACAGATACCAGATACCACATAACAGATAACAGATACCAGAAACCAGATACCAGATATCAGATACCAGATAACAGATAACAGATCAAAGATGCCAAAGGATAAAAAATGATTAGAGATAGGGATAAAATATATCGCTAGCATTGCATTAGCATACCAGCAACTGCGCTACGTGAGGTTTTAAATAAAGACATCAACGTACAATATTTTGCATAGCGTTAGCGTGCCAGCAACTGCGCTAGTTGAAATATGAATAACTGAGTGAAGAACCTAAGTTTAGTAGTTGATAAGGACTGTGTGAATAACTGGTTGCGGAACAAATGGCCAATCATTAGAAGGAACTTCAAAGACGAGGACATATTCAATGCAGATGAAACTGGGTTATTCTATAAGCTTACACCTGACAGGACCTTAAGATTCAAAGACGCGAGGGTGGGAAGCTATCTAAAGAAAGAATCACTGTGCTTATAGTGGCAAATCTAACAGGGACAGAAAAAAGAAAGCTATTAATTGTAATTGGGAGATCGAGAAACCCTCGATGTTTTAAAAACGTTTGTTGCCAGTTAATTACAAATCCAATAAAAGAGCATGGATGACCTCAGAGATGTTTGATGCTGAACTGCGTAATTGGGATGTTGAGTTACGCCGCGAAAAACGAAAAATTATATTATTAGTGGACAATTGTCCAGCTCATCCAGATGTTAAAAATTTGGATTAACCTAGTGTTCATACCCCCAAACACGAGTTCTAGACTACAGCCTATGGATCAGGGTGTAATCCACAGTTTAAAAAGCCGTTATCGTCAAGTTCTTCTCTTGAGAATGGTAGATTTTATTGATAGTGGCGGGGAAAAATTTACAATCAATCTTTTGGATGCAATAAACATCATTCATATGGCATGGCAGAAGGTATCAAAAGAAACAACTTTAAATTGTTTTACGGATGTTGGTTTCTTGGAGGTTGAGGCTCATTTTGATCCCGACGATGACCTGCCATTAGTTGAGTGGATGAAGAAAATTCAACAGGAAGACGATCTTCGAGACAATATTAGACCCAATCTTCCTTATAGTGAGAACGATTTCAATGAGTTTGTTCATATTGATGACCAAGTTGTGACTGTCGAATACCTGGATAATGATGCCATTGTAGCCGGTATATCTTCAGCAGTTGATACTGATGATGACGAAGAAAAGGAAAATAAAGATGAAGAATCTGTCGGTACGGAACTGATACCAACTCCAACCACATCAGAAGCGCTTCGACATATTGACAGCGTTCGTCATTTCCTTCAGTCACGAAATACTCCGCAGCGTGTGCTAGATCGTCTATACTATAACTATCTAAAACTGTAATGACTCATCGATGTTCACGTGAACATCACTTAACTACCAGTAGTCGGCTGTTCATAGGCGGGGTATGAATGTTTAACATGGGTGAACTAGATTTGTCACATGCTTAATAAAGAGTCGTTTAAAACATATTGTAAGTCAAAAATTTGGGAATTACCTTTATTCATCGTCGCTTCCACTTACATCTGACAGTAATAAACTGTCGCTATAGCTTTCCTCGTTGAAATTGACTATAACTGGCTCTATGATGGTGTCGATGTGGTGGTCAAGCTGCCACATTTTTGTTTCTTCCTTCACAACATGACGGATAGCATTCTGCCAAGCTTCGGGCGTTACTAGCTGTATGGAAGTCTCAAGTAAAACCTTAACGTCTGGTAATTTGAAGGTTGTGTTATGGAGCGCAATATAACCCTTCACTTGAGCCCGGATGAGCTCTATTGGGTTCAGTTCACAGTGGTAGGGGGGTAACCGCAGCACAGTGACACCACATTGACGGGCCATCTCATCAGTCACGTAACTAATGTTCGCAGGTTTGTGCTGTTTAATTTTTTCATACAGTTCCGCTTTCACACAAGAATCGTCAAACGGGATTCCTTTTTCGCGCAACCATTGCTGCATGTCACTTTTTCGAGATCCCATAGTCGGTACACGTTCGGCTCGACGACTATGGTAGGAAGCATTATCCTTGACGATCACAGAGTTGGGCTCAACTCGCTGAAGCACCCCTTGAAACCAGCTCTCGAAGCAGCTGGCATTCATTTCGTCATGGTAATCACCTCCTTTGTTAGAGACGAAAATCAAGTCACAGTCTTCTAAAAAGCCACTATCGCTACCAATATGAGTTACGATCAATCTTTGACCTTTCCCTGACGGTCCACGAAGACCTGTTGACAAACCTTCAATGCTTGCTTGTCGGTTACTCACTACGTTTTTGTCAATCCAGGTTTTTTTAACTGTGTGACCTGCATTCACCCATGTCTCGTCCAAATAATAGATTTTTCTGCTTTGTCGCCTATATTCAATCATTTCGCGTAGGTATTTTCGACGCCAGGCGACTATTTCAGGTCTCTCTATCAATACTGACTTCCGATTACGCGTTTCGTAACGAAAATTAATTTCGTGCAGGGATTTCATCATTACCTCGACGCTCATTTGGGGTATAATTTCATTTTCCTTGATCGCTGCATGTACAGCCTTGAGGGTTGGTATCTCATTCCTAAAGAAGAATGAATGTACGGTTCGCCTTAACGCCATTTTGCTATCGTCATCCAATTTAACGGCCTTTCGTCCCTTCAAATTTTGGATCAGTAGTAGCTCCAGTTTTCTTCTTTTCATGCACCACCCTGCGAATGGTCCACTCTGGAACGCCTGTCATACTTTCACAACGCGCGAGTGCATCTCCCTGCGAAATAGTTCTGTTCAGATAATTGAACACGTTGAGCACGATTTCTTTCGCGTCCCTCTTCAGTGCTTTACGAAGCCGTCTACTTGTTGTGGCTTTCAGTACTTCCACTCGTGCCATTTGTACTCTCCATGGTTAAGTATAACCAAAACAGTAACCACAGAAACCACAACAATAACAATCACACAACAATTCTTATAAAAACACACAATATGCGATCGCCCAACGAAACACATTCCAATGCGTTGCCGACGCCTATGAGTCTGCCGGTCGAGGCGCGTCTTTGATTTCATTGGTTCTACCGGCGGAGAACAATCAGCCATTATTTCCATCTCTGTCTGTGCTGTTGACCACCGTATGAGTCATTACAGTTTTAAATAGTTGTAGTATAGCTGAAGTGGAATTACATATTAATGATATTCATTTCACAAAAATAAACCAAACCAAAATAAATGATTTTTTTTTTAAGAAAGATTTCCGAAAACTTTTATAAATGTGGATTATAGATATTGTTACTATTACAAACATTTTATATACCCCTGGTTGAAAAATAAACTAATGAAAAATATTTTCTGGTATTAGCATTATTTATCGTTTATTAAGAATAGCGAACCAGTTTTTCCGGTCCCTTGAGGTTCGTTATAAGCGGACATTACTGTACGTCAATAAATTTCTTCCCATTATTTCCGATTTCATAAAAAAATTATATTCACAACTAGTACTAATTCAAAAGTATAGTTTGACAAAATAAAAAGCATAAGCGTCCTCCAAATATATTTTGACAGTATTTCTATAAATTTTGACCAGACTACCAGATTACATCACATAGGTTTATGCAGGGTGTTTCAGTTTATTGTTGCATAACTTTAAGATTCGATAGAATTTTTAAAATTAATGCATAAAGTCTATATAAACATGGGTCGAAAAATGCGTGGCTTCCGAAATACAGGGTGTTTAAATTTACTTTCTAAAATAGTTTTTTTTTAATATTTCGAACAATATTTGATGTATAACAGTGAAAATTGGTATACAAGGGTTTTTTGGTACGACAAAACGAACCATGGGCATAATTTTACTGTAGCCGCTAGAGGGCGCCCTCTACTGTACCTGTAGTGTATTAAAATGACCGAAAATTTTTTCTTAGTGCAATTTTTTGCTTTTTGAATAAAAAACTGATTCTTCGCCGTTTTCAACATAAAAAAGCTCTCTTGTGAGTTTTCGTTATAGTTAGCCGTTTTTGAGATATTTCGATTTTTAAGGTTCGATGCATTTTTAATTATTTATGGGAAAATAATATTTTTTTTTGCATTTTCGATTTAGGCATTACAAGTAATTAAGATGATCGTTTAGATTGTGCTTTTAAACACAGCAATAAGTCCTAACTCCGAATAAACACAAAAAACAGAATATTTATTTGTTAAATTTTCCAATATTATTTTTAACAAATTAAATTAATTATTTACAACTAAAATGATATTGGATAGTTAGGACCTAAACCTTACTTGCTGTGTAATTACGAGTTGTTGTATACAGGGTAGCGTAAAAAAGTTATGATAAGTTATTTACCAAAATACTGCGTAAGCCCTCTAGACGTTTTGCCATAAAAAATTACGGATTCTTGTTTCGCATAGCAGAAAACCTCCCTATACCGAGTTTAGGAACACGCTTGTAAAAGTGATCATACGAAATCTCGAACGTCACTCTAAATTCTGAAAACAATCCACCCGTCTATTTTCCAACTCGAAATTTAATGAAACTGCGTCTGACATAAAGCTACTAACTATCATATACGTTGAAAGCGAGAGGACAAATGCAATTTGCAGTCGTTATATCTGCCATACAGCAAAAACTGGATCACTTCACTGCCTATCAATTTGCGCAATTAGTTGATGTATACTTTATTGATATATCGATTAAATAATGCAGTTTGTCTGTATTTGATGCTGACACTAACGATGAAGCATGCATATTCATAGAGGGGCAGCTAAACGCTGTTTAACTCTATTAATGTATATTTGAATGATCTGTGATAATGACACCATAGTTAGTATCCGTTTTATGCTCAAGATATGCTCTATACAAAAATAATATTCGTTGCTGTGCTTATTTTGGATGACATGGGGGGTAGGGGTAGGGTACTTTTTTATACGAATGGCAACCCTCACATTGTCTTTGCTTCAAATTGAAACGCATTTTCGGGGATTCCCGCAAATAATGCATACGTTTAGTGTCTAAATTTCCTCGATCAGTGTATTGTTTCGATTGGATACTATAGCGAGTAGACGTATTGTAAGCATAGTAAAGCAAGTTAACATTTGTGTTATCATTGATCCATTAGCCAAAGTTTACTGTTTAAATAAGATGATGACGTTTCACATTCCAAGTTATACCAAAAATTGTTTGAAAGTTTTAAAAAATCTCCAAGTACGAAAGTACAAAATGTACAAAAATTAGTTAACGAAGTGTGGCGAAATTACAAATTACAAGCAAAATCCGACAAGGAACTAGATATTATTGTATCCAAGAGAATCGAAGAAGAATTGCAAGCGGCAACTAAGAATAAATCCAATCTACTAATTTTTTTTCTAAGGTGAGTGACGAAATCATTTTAGGTACCTATGAGTACAGAAATATTGAAATCGCCAAAAAGTTTCTCTTTACTGATTAGAAAATATTATGGCCTATCTAAAAGTATAAAAATTCATTATATTATAAATTTATTTCTTATGACTGATTCCGTCAATTGGTCACAAAGTACAGGATGCTAGTTTTATACATATATACAGAAAACTAACACCCTGTATTTTGTGACCGGAACGAATTGCTCGTTTAAACATATTAGATTTATAGCCATAGGGCTTTGTATTTACCATATATATATTGCCATACTTTGTATTTATGTAGCTTAATAAGAGAATCTTTAGCAGAAGCCATCGAAAGTTTTTATTTTTAGGCAACCTGTTAACCTGCAGAAAAAACACAAGTTATACAAACATCTTCAAATATTAAAAAAGAGGAAGAAGATAAAATAAAACCCGGTAATGAATCACAACAGCAAATGCGAAATTAATGAAAATACAGATAAACAGAGAGCAAAACCTTCTCAGAAAGCTATCAAAAATAAGATTGCTCTACTAGAAAAAAATCTGAATGCTTTGTATTCTACCAGAGATACTATGCCAAGCCGTGCTGAAGTTGATAAACAGAACATTAAGTTGCGCGAGGAAATAAAAACAGCAAAACACTCTTTAAAGAGGAAGGTTCAAAACGCAGTTGCCCAGAAGAAACACAGGGATAGTATGAAAAGAAAGTTAGCAGATATTTGTCATGAAAATCCAGAAATAAAAAAAGACTATCTCTGAGGGATTCAGTGGGACGTCCTAATCTTGAAAGCAATCAACATTCACTATTGAAAACAATCGCGGATATAGCTTTATTTGGGAGTGCAGCAGATGATAGAAGACGAACGGAATCAATTCGCAGCGTAAAAACTCTTGATGAACTCACACAAGAATTATGTAAAATAGGATTTGACATTAGTCGCAGTGGGACATATCTTCGTTTGATTCCCAGAAAATCTAATTCAGCAGAGGGACGAAGACATGTATCGACAGTCTCTGTTAAGCTCATTCGGGCTCAAACTGATCACCACAAGAGCCACTTAGATAGCAAGTTCGCTGAAACATCAATCCATTATTTAGAGAACATAGAATCCATACTTGGACCAGATCAAGTATTTTTCATATCTCTAGATGATAAAGCTCGAGTCCCTATTGGCGTAACTGCGGCAAATAAGCAAGCACCTCTTCTAATGCACATGGAATATAGAATCAAATTGACTGATCACGATTGGGTGATCGCTGAGCGTCATAAATTAATACCATCTGTTTATGCTGGTATCAAAATCACTTCCAATATGCTAGGACAACCGTAAGCCGTTGGATATTCTGGACCAACATACATCGCTATTCGAAGTGGAAAGCATAGTTCATCTACTGCTAATAGTCATGCTCAGGACGCTTCTCGAACTTGAAGAGTTTCGACCATTAGCTAAAACTGACCATGGACTAGTAAAACCAGTGGTAATCATGACGGTTGATGGAGGGCCAGATGAAAATCCACGTTATCAAAAAGTCATAGGGTTTGCTATACAACACTTTAAGCGACATGATCTCGATGCATTGTTTTTAGCTACCAATACTCCTGGAAGAAGTGCGTATAACAGAGCGCAGAATGGCTCCTCTTAGTCGGGAACTGGCTGGTTCAATATTGCCTCATGACTATTTTGGGTCTCATTTGGATGAACGTGGCGTTACAATTGATGAACATTTAGAAAGATCTAATATCGAATTTGCAGGAAATGTATTAGCTGAAGTATGGAGTTCAATGGAAATTGATGGTTATAATGTTAATGTAAAATATATTGGGGCAGGTGAACAAGATCTTCCTGATTTTCCAGACATTAAATGGTATTCAGAACTTGTGCGTGAGAGCCAATACTTGCTTCAAATTGTAAAATGCAGAAATGAAGAATGCTGTCGTCCAAGAAGTGGCCTATTTAGATTACTATACAATAGGTTTCTTCCACTACCTGTAAAAGTAAAACAAACAGTTGATGACTTGGTTTTGGATGAAGGAGGGCAATTTCTTAATCTTCCAGTCAATTTAGCTTTACGCTTAAGTGCTTCACTCAAAGATTTCCTGCAAATGCCCTACGACGGTAAAATTGAGGCTATCAAGTCGAACATGCAAAACGTGTGGTCTTTATCATGCTTCCGTCAAGTCACTAAATAGTCACATCGAAAATATTCATAAAAAAGTAATATGCACACTGATAGGAACGTTAGACCTGTGAGAGTCGCTGCTCGTCGTGCTAATGAACTGATGTGCATTATTCAAAATTTAGAGCACCATGATGTTGAATGGCTCGATGAGAACGACGTAGACATTCCAAAATCCGATGAAAGCGAGCAAACTCACAACACTGAGCAGCAATCGAAGCAATCCAATGTCATCGAAAACTTAGAATCATGGATTCGGGTTTCATGGACTGAAAACTGTTAATTTGAATTTAATATATGTACAAAAAATTTAAGATGAGTTAGTAAGATATAATATTTTGGTCCTTTACTCTATGTTGAATACCGTATCAGTAAAATATAATCTCTATCCTAAATCTATTTTCTTATTTTTCAAATGATAATTATAACGTCATAATTATAATATAAAACAAAAACAATACATTAATTGACAAATGTTTACGTAAGCATGGGGGGAGGGGGTAAGAGCTTTGCTTACTTTTGCTGACAAGGGGGATGGGGGGGTAAATAATTGTAATAAATCTGCTTACGTAATACTTGAAGAGCCCCTTACGTAGTCAAGTAGGCAGTATATACTCACCTGGAAAAAAATAAATGAGAAATTAGAAATGTTCCCCACGATATCTGGTAAAGAATGCATGTACATAAAAAATGTCAATTTCCAAAACAAAAGCGACGTCATAAACCAAACGCATTCCGAAATAAAAACGTTCAACTGCCTCGAGATAAGACCTTGCAAGATATCAACAAAATTGTGAATTCGCGTACTCACAAAATTTGTATTCATAATTTATCAGTTTAATGCTTACACCAAAACACGTTTCAAAAATATCAAAATCGTATACTGATAAGGTAAACAAAATAGCGATATCACATGGAAATATTAATTATGAGTGTAATTGGTTGTTTTAATTGATATTAATAGGTACAACGTACAAAAACAAGAAAGTCGTATGATATGATTTATACGTCATATTGTGTCATGGACTATTATGCCTTGTAATGTACACGAGTCAATAAAGAATAAAAATTACTTAATATTTAATAAAGCAACATACATTTGAAACTATCCTGGCAGCCAAACCTTTAGTAAAGCCAACATAACAATTTGAAAATTGAAGTAGTGCCTTGAAGTTTGACTACGTTATTTGTATTGGAATTTATATTCAATTCCCCCAAGAAAAACGTGGAGTCGGAATAGTTATTTTAAGATGCCCAATATATTTTTGTTAGCATAAACTTCAATAGAGATGCAAACTTTGATTTATGGGGCTATTTTTATGACATCCGGTGGAAAGTGTCATTTTAATTTCCCGCAGAATAAGAAGCGGTTGCTATTAACAATCTTAATGAACTGCTGACGGATTTTACGCATCACCATAAAATAACTTGGCTTATATAACTAAAGTCTTGCATAATTATGCTAAGTTATTCCGACGTGCAACATTGTATAGAATACACAGATGACTGAATTAAGACAAGATAGTACCGGTAGTAGGGTTTCGGGGAAGTTCCGGGAATCTTTTCGGACTGAAAAACCGGAACGCATAACCTTGTTCCGGATCTTTCGTCACTTTCGTGGCTAACTATAAATGTTTAAAACTACAGTTCTCGTTTATTGGAATAAAAATGGTTGTGATTGTGGCCGATGAACCTACTACTTACTAGTTAGTTGAAGACTGATTGACAGCTAAGAATACTGCTTCTTATAATAAATAAACATAAACTAATTAGACCACAAATTTGATCTAGAATTGAGGTTAATCTATCGATCTTTAAATGCCGTGTTCCTGGTTCATTCAACAACTAATACAAAAATTCTCAATTCTTCATGCCCTATTCAAACACATATTCGCGCCTTAAGGCAATGGCCACGTTTTTGTATGGCCACTGATTGGGTTTTTTGTGATGGGCTGTAGCGGGATAGGTGTATGCTTCAATGCTGGATGGTGGTTGTTGACACCTTATTCAGAAAACTATTTTTTCCCATTTTTTTATTCTTATTTCCAAACTTTCTCGAAAAAAATCAATCAACTTCGTGTCCACATCAAGAAGTATGTTCACTACATGAGCTCATTGATTTAAAAAAAAATCTTTTTTAGGAGGGTTGAAAAAAAACATGTTTTTTTTTGTTTAAAACTGTTTGTTTTTTAAAACATTCAAATTTATCTGAAAAATAAAGTTTACAACACTGTTAATACATGTTACATAAAAATTAAAAAACTATTGCCTATACAGGGTGACTTTGAAGTTGAGTCATTAATTTTCAGATAATGATTGTAGAAGGAAGATAAACCAAAATATGTGTGTAAAAATAAAAAAAAATTAAAAAAAAATTTTACCTTGTTTTATAAAGTATCCTCCCGACAAGTATTTCAGTGCGGACCTGTATTTGATCGTGAGGTCCCCTGTGAGGTCTTAAGTCACCTGATTCACGAGCCCGTTGTACTACATTAACAAAGGCACGAGGGGTTGGTTGCACTCGATTGGGAAACCGATCCGCATAAACATGTGCCATTTTTTATTTCGTTTGAGCCACGCAACAGACACTATTCACACGCGACTGAAACTGACTGTATGTATAACTGAACTGAATTGTAATCGTAAAAACATCGTTCCAAATTCTTTCGCTTTTTTGTTTCCGATGCGATGAACCGTTGTTGCCAAACACGAACACATGATATTATTGAGACAGGGCGGTACTCAAACTTCCAAAGGGCTATAACTTTGTTACTTTAATTTTACCAGAAAAATGGTAAAGGAAAAAAACATTTCTTTTGATCAGATCTACACACTGTTAAAATAAATGACTCAACTTCGAAGTCACCCTGTATAATCTTGTAACGTTAATGAAGTTCCTTGAAAGGGATCCAGCTCTATCAGAGCACATCTCTAATTTAAAAGCGGATGTCGGGGAAGTACCTTTTGCTTTTGGGTAATTTTTCGCGTTGCGATCTTCAGCAGTCAAATTTGCAAAGTCGTAGCGTGGTGGTGTGTTTTGTTTTTTGTGCATTAAAGATCGGCAAAAAAAAATAAAGGCAATGACAGGGAGGAGAAAGGATCCCGTGTGGAAATATTTTAAGGAGACTGATGCCAAAACGGGACTACAAATAAATAAAAGAGCAAAATGTTTAACCTGCAATATGGATATAGTGCCACTGGTGGCTAGGATGCGCAAGCATATTAAAAATTGTAAACAACTTAAACAAGGAAGTTTGTTAGAAAAACAAAATATTCATATATCAGATAGTACTGATACCGACAATGATGATGTTTCTCCCAAACCTATTCCCTCAAAGTTGAGTAGCTTGAAGAATTGTGAAATATGTAAATTTTTTATCTTGAAGTTCCGTAAAAAGTAGTGAAAACTAAAAATTCATTCTATGTACATTTTCCACGATTTTATATTTTAAATATATGGATATAAGGATTTTTACATTTTTTTGTTAAATAAGATGGATTGTATACTTTTTTAGAAATTTGTTAAGTAACTTATTTAATGTTATTATACAAGTAAATACATAGTCATATTATATGATTATTCTGCTGCTTGTAGTGTACTAGTATTAGAGTTCAATGCAGTTTATTAAATTCACTCGTTCGTTAAGAAACAGATTTTTTTCCACTAGTATTAGTTCCCTAGCTTCATGTTTGATTAATTAATAAAAAATAATGTATATATTTTAGTACCTATGTGTTTTAACCTATTGCCCTTTTAGTTTTGTCTTACAAAATACAATCAATTTTAATCATACCTAAAAAAAAATATAAAAAAAACTTGAATAATTCACAAACGACCAAAAAAAACACCGTTTAAAACATGTTTGAAACAGTTTAAAACACTCGTTTTAAACATTTTCATTGAAACATAACAACCCTGTTTTTTAGACAATGTTATTTGGTAAGTTTTGTACCAAATTTGTTCTGTCATGTTTTGGACGGCTCATGACATGTAGGTAATGGTATCCTGTCGATCTGTGGAATCATTTTTGAGATTGTTAAAAAATAAAGGAAATAATATGGAAAAAATCTGATCGACCACGCCCTCTACTCGCTCCACCCACTGAAGGTGTCAATCTTCTCTCAGTATCCAGCCTGGTTGCCAGAGTGTTGTAAACAAGCAAATTTCAGAAACGTCGCGTCGTCTAATACCAACGTCTTGTAACCAGCCCGCTCAATTATTGTGTGCACGATGGTAGTGAACAACAACACGCCGCCGCTTGAAAAGCAACAAACTTTGTTACGGCAATATCGCGTTATGCTGCCATCACTGACACATGTGTTTTGGAGAGTAGTAGGTTGGATTCAGGCGAGGATATGGTTCAATACAGCGTTAAATGATTGAGCTGCCATCTAGCGGATTATAAGTCTCTCTGCGCCTAGCCTATTCCCTTAAGTGATTTTTTTTCATCCTATATTTGTTTGACAGGAAAATATTGGACGGGTATCTCGGTTCTCACATTTCCATCAATCACAAAGCACATGAGTCATAATTTCTGTCACGAGTCTGTTATCATGCCGACTAGAAATTATCATTATCTGCAGTGTTTTATCGTTCTAAGCATAAACAGCGTTGTGTGGCTGGCTTTGTTGACAACAGAAATTAAGATGAGGTGGTGGGTGAGCGACAGGGGTATTATGTAAAAAACCTAAAAGAAAAAAAATGACAAAATGTTATCTTGCTGACTAGGTTGTTTTTAGTGTGTAAATAGTTCATTCCACGTTTGCCCCTATGATCACTGTGAGCGCCATCAAAAGCGTCCAACTATGGAGGAATGACAAAACGACACGACGTGCATTGTTGGTTGCAGAAGGTCGAGTAGTCTGTAGTGTTATTTCTGAGAAGATGTGAAAGAAAGAAAGTTGGAGGAGTAGCAAGATCGCACCTCAATGATTATGTGTACTGGTATACTGCATTTATATAAAATTAGTGATATTATTTGCTGTGTGAGAAAATGATTACAGAATATGCTGCCAACGAAGTATATCTATTATCTGCTCACAACAAGTGTAAAACAGCTAGTGCTAACTTGACATCTAGAAGAAAAACCTACGTTATGTACAAAAAACTACAAAATGTAAAAAAACGACAAAATGTCACTTTTCAAGATAAGTAATACCCGTGCAGGTAAAGGGTTAGGTTTGATTTATGAATTATGTACTTTGTTGTTAAATATTAATTCTTCTATTCCAATCTATCTTACGAAATTTTTCAGCTGAAAAACATTACAAGAAAAATATTCATGTCGAGGAAAAAATGCCGTCAAGTACGTTTATAAAGGATTATATTCAGCACAAGTTAAACCGCATCGAAATGAGTCAGCGACATAGATCTTATGTCCTTTATAGAGGTTAGTTGCTATGATTTCGTTTATCGTTCGAGAGTCCAAGACCATATTGATGAGTTGCCGTAAAAGCACGAAACGGCGGTCTGTGGTTGGCTGACATACTAGAAGAAATCGATTACGCATTCCGCAAAACGGGGGAATTATAATAGTTCTTTCAAAGTAAGAGAAACTCATCTGGAGATTTTTCCAAGCTTCCTCCATTTCCGTGGTTCGTAGCATCAGTTTCGTATTTTATGGATGAGGAAGGTTCCCTATAAACCCAAATTGGCTTTTGTTTTTATGTTTCCGCATCGCATAGAACGTGCATTTATATGTATGTGTCGTCTCCCAACAACGCTGATGTTCTATGAAATATAGATGAGGAAGGAAAAGTTTGGTGAGAAAACTTTTATGGATACTTTAGCTTTAGTTTATCAAAGCTTTTAAGGATAATGAAATATTGTAGGTAAATTCCTGCGCACATGATCGTTGCGATGACGAATTCCACGTCAATGACGATTTTGGTCATCATGCGCGGTGCGCACGTCCCACATCAGTGCGGAAGCGATTGCCGACTGTGGCGACCGTCGCTCGTCCATCGGAGGACCACGCGACTGTCAAGAGATATTT